ATAAGCTCATTTGTTTACGTATTAATCTGAGGTATTCGGGGATGTAATCTCGTTTTTCTAAAGGAAATATTTATGAATAACGTCAAATCAATGGAAAATCAGTTCAGTTCAGTTGGATAACTATGATTCAGCATAGAAGTTAGGCGATTATAGTTGCTACGATGCACAATGATTGACAACAACAAACAAATAAGGTTGAACGTAAATATAATGTAAAAATCGAAGCAAAGAGAAAGTGAAATCTAATCGGGATGGAATGAAAATTAACAGCTAGATGCAAAAAACCGAATGCAGGAACGCCACTCAGTATGCGACTGCGCAGTTTGAACGATCCCGGGGACCCTATCCATGAAGACGTCATGCACCAGTGAGTTTCTTCATGCCACCATGTCACGTCATGGACTGGCCACCTCGCGGCTTCGCCCAACTTGATGCAGGCACGACGCATACGAAGGACATGGCCTAGCTAACGTCGGCGATTACGATTCAGCAAACACAAGGGTAAGGCATCAGAAGGCTTCCTGTCAAAAACCAACCAGTGGATCTCAGTATTGCTCACCCAGTGTTTCAATCAGACGTGGAGAGCCCCGGTAGACAAACAAGGCCAACCGGTCAATATCTTCATTATGAACTGACCGGGTCTCTGATCCATACACAGCAAGATCAGCCTTATCGCAGCGTCTCACATCCTACATTTTACTGACAAGTTGATATCCCACCGACTCCGTAGCTGGTTGAGTTTCTGGTAAGCTACACAGGCCTTGCTGATACACGGAGTAACTTCTTCAGTGATGTGACCACCAGAAGTGACACAGCCCCAGGGCAAGTCGACCGATCCAACACTTGCAGCAGCTGTTCGCTGATACTTAGGACCGGTGGCGTACCGGTCCAGCCCTGCAGCAGTATCATGTACTTTGAAGGTGCAAAGCCTGGAACCGTTGGATCTGGCTCAAGATGGTTTAGCGTTGTTTTTCTGTATAACCTCTAGGTCCAACCTGAAGCATGGTTCATCGGATATATTCCATTCATTCATCAGTAATTTTTGGCTGTCCGCTACGATTAGGCCGATCTCCTTAGGTGACGGAGTGAAACTGCCGAAGCCCAAGTGAAGCGAATGGACACTGAACAGGCTCAAATGAGTCGGAAGTTCAAATGAGCTGAATAGCTAAAAATAGTATAAAAAAGAAAAATATGGGACTTATTTCTCTCTGCAGGCCTATTACTCACCATACATAACAAAGACCCAGAAGATGAGCTAATAAGATGATGGCTCATTTGCTCTTCTGCCACACCGGCACAAAGCCAGATGGGACGTAAAAGTGCGGATGAAACCTTTCGAAGAAATACCCAGCATGGAAGCAAATCCCCAAGGGACGGTTCCACGGATAACCGTATTATTTTACTTGATTTTTTTCCAACAGCCACTTTCATCCTGTTCTCCACCTATGAGTTTTGCTAACATTTTTACTGATCGAACACAATGAAAAGTTTTCTGAGAAGTGATATGGACAACTCTAAAAACATCTATATTTGGGGATCCTGAATGTATCTAGGAAATCAAGAAAAACGCAATTCATTTGTCCCAGGTTTCCGCACTTCCCGGAGTCCATCGAATTCACACAGTTGATTGGGGATAAAAATAACGAAGCAGTCTTTCGATTCACTTCCGCATGCTTAGGAGTCGTCAACGAAGTTAATCGGAGATGAGGGAGTAAATAATGCACAAAATAGCGTAACTAACTAAACCACACAACTTGAGTGGTTTAAACGAGACAACGACAATGGCACACTCGATGAGTGAGGGGCTCAGAAAAGTGTGACAGGACAGATACTCAGAAAGGATGAGACTTAGTGAAATAAAGCGGAACTCAAAACAACAATCATAGTGATGGAGGAACAACTGTCATCATGTATACGTAGAGAAGAACCTAAAACAGACCGCTTTTATCCGAATTTGTACGTAAGGGAAAAGAGCAAAGAGCCATACAACAGATACCTTGAAAATGCCGGCCTTGTTTAAAGCAATCTTCTCAAGAGTGTCTCCCAAAACATCCGTATGTTCCAGAGATACACCGGTAACAACGGAAACAGCGGGTCTCCTGTTACGGGAAGGGAATAACTTCTAAGGAGTAGTAATTAGTAAATTACTGTTCAAAAAACATGAAGTGATCTTACGGGTAGAGAAAAGTATTCAATTATAAGCCATACATAGAGGTGCGGTGGACCATACTGTTTTGACTGACGCCACCCAAATGATGACCAGAGAACAAAACAGTTGAACTTATAGTAATAAAAGTAATAACAATGAAAATTCAGCAGAAACAGACGAAAAATACGGCTTGTGAGCTGCTATGATTATATTCAATAAAATCATCAGGTGGAGCAGTTAGGAATCCGAGTAAAGGAAATAGGTGCAGAAGAGCTGACAAATGCGAGGCTATTCAAACCCGACAGATCAGATAGCGAATAAAGAAATCGGAAAGGTCAGTCAAGGTATGAGGTAATTGCAATAAGAACTCAGGAGCGGGGGACGTGGACTTTACCAGAAAGTATCAGTCACAAAGTCATCGTGTTAATATAAAGCGGATTCGGCGAGATGGCCTCCTTGTGATATCCTCTGCTTCACGTCGTAGCACCCGTACCCAAACAACAACTTTGCGATAAACACGTCAGAACTGTAACCCAGCTGAAAAGCAGCAGCAAACGCACAACGGACGCTTGTGGTGTGTCATGTCCTGACAGGTCTTGAGGTGGTTACGGAGTGGGTCGCGTGAATCCAAGCATGAAGAATGAGGTAAGTCAGCGGCAATGCTGTCAAGCCAATGGTTGCCCTCGCACACAACCCTTACACCAAGTGTTACATTGATAAATTGACTGAGACACTTTTTCTGTGACGTTGATAAATAAAACGATCCAGCTTTGTGAAATGAGAAATTATGGGGTCCAAAAAGTGTAGCTGATATCCAAACAGTGGGATGCGAAGTGCTTAAGGTAGTCGGATTTGGGAAGCGCCATTCATATATGATATGCAGTCAGACAGACATAACTAGTTGTACACAGTTTTGTGGGGAATGACTACAAGGCGGTGTCATAATATCAATTCGGTGGAAGCTCAATTGTTTAGTCATCCACCAGAACAGAGAGAATCTACGGCCGTCATGGATTCCGCGAAGTTAGTGAAGACCATAAAGGCAACAAACGAAAGTGTAGAACTCACCTAATGAAATTTGTTTGATCAAAACGACCGCCTATACCAACTTCTACAATTGCTGCATCCACCTAAAAGAAACAAGATAAACATGGAGGTGGAGGAGGACAGTGTTGCAACACCTTAAGAGAGAAGAAAATGGGGGGAAACTGTATCTATTCTCAGCCAATTGAATCCAGAACGCTTTCGAATTCCTCCTTAAGCAAATCATGTTCCTTCACAGATCTTAACGTTTTCAAGTTGTATCCAGCGGGCACGAACGCCCCTAAACGCTACGGTCCAATGTGTGACCAAATCCAAATAAAGCAATATCATCCCAGCCTATGTGCACGTTTACTATAATATCTGCTTTTTGAAATTGGTCACTCAACGAAGAGCAAGTAAGTTTTAGAAGTGTTTGCACCCGTTGGATTCAACTTGAAAGCTTTATGGAACTTCTTGAAAGAGCTATGGAGGAACATGATTTCCTTAAGGAGGAAGTTGAAAGCGCTATGGATTCAACTGGCTGAGAAAAGGTATAGTGTGCACGGGGTGAATCAGCAGCAGTACCTAGTACTCGGTCCAGTAATGAGACAATGAATACATGTACCGTATGCGAAAATAATTCTCATGTGATATTTGCACAGTATACTAAACCACTACACCGCTACCTTGATGAACGATGGATTTAGCATGAATAAAAATCGAACGCTTAATGAGTTCCTTAGGCAAAGTGTGAGACCGAAAATTGAAGGTATCAAGAAAAGGTAGCGCGCAACAATGGACACATCGCAATCTTCTCTAATACACAAGTTTTTGTTTATGTATTACTGAGTCCGTGTTGTGTGATGTAGGTGTAATATATGATCAACTCGTAGCTTGACAGCAGCTTACACTGTGGAGCGCTGACAGAATGCGGAAGAACGTTTAACGGCTGGGATACATGAAGGGAGAACATGTTTCCGGTGGCATTCCAACCGGCTATACTGTGTGGTCAACTTCAAATGGTGGCCTCTTAGCGGGATGTCGTGGCTAAGTTGCAATGAGTGCCGGCATCGGTGGTTAGAACGTTGAGGATCTGACACATTAATATACAATCACCCCGCAGACGAAACTGTTCAATAAGAACTCCTAGAGTCTTTAGTCTAAACTGATAAGGGTGGTGAAGCAAGCCCTTAACATCTTTAGTCGTCCTCCGCCGTGGATTCGCAAGAACAGCGAATCATGTTTTTATCAGGAGTTTCGCAACTGGATGGTGTATTCTACAAGCGGCTTCACATGATGTCACACATAGCGGAAGCATCAGTAGCTATAATTCACAGAAAATACGAAATCAACGATGTCTTGCGCAGAGCTGAAAACCGTTTAGAGGATGATGGACCCAAGGACGTGTCGTGAAATGTAACCCGATGTAAAACGGCTTAAAGTTAGTACTGCTGAAGAAGTTGGAGTATCGAAACCACGGCCATGCAACGAGTAATCAGTGATCTATGCCACTGTCGTGACTAAGAAATTAAGCCGAGAGATAGCACAGTTCATCCTCCACTGTCGTGCAGAAAACAGCGGCTCCTAAGTGCATAACTTCCTTCGTTTAGCTATCAAATGGCACATGGTAGTACCATGCGTTTGCTAGCCCACACGACTCCCGCGACGTGCGTTGTTTGTGCGCTGGGGATGTGAATGGGAGAAGAGGAGGAGTGGACAAGCGATGACCTGGCCAAGAGGAATGAAACCCATTGATAGGTGAAAACTCAATTATCAAGCGAACATAAGTTTCCAATAATTCTTCCTCAGGCTTGTACAATTATATGCAAAAAAAGAAAAAAATTAATAGACAGCATAAGAACTGGTAAACAGTACTTGACCGATCCTTGTACTGTGTTTACCATTTGGTCTTTTTGCATAAAATTGTACAAGCCTGAGAAAGAATTACTGACAATTTATGTTCACTTGATAACATTGCGTTTTTATCAAGAATGAAAGCCCTCACCATGAAGTTGGCGTCGGTTGGTGTGTCCCGACTGCCTGGCTGGGGTCCGAAAGACGATGAACAGATTTGGTTGGATACACTAGTTGACATGGCAAGAAGCCGACCACAATTGCGTTTGTGTTGTGAGTCTCTTTGTCCTTCCTCAGCCCGCTTGTCTTCCCCATACAACCACGATCTCGCTCTTGAGGCATAATATGTTACTAGGTAGTCTGTCGCTGGTGTGTTTTAGCGTTCTATACTTTACAGCATCTTATTTTTTCGTATGCTTTATTTTTCTATAATGCGGCACAATAGCTGAAGTGTGTTTCTCACCTTCAGCTGTGTAATGATGATGATGACGGTATTACCAGGGCCCGTGAATGGAAGAGATGGGAGTACGCGTAGAGGATACACAGAATATAAGTGCTGAACTAATATTAGAACTCTGGAAAGCCCGGGGTGTCCAAAGTGCAATACGAAACCACAAGTGTGTTTTCACTCTTGACAGCAAACCACTTAATATCTGTCCTACGATCCGAGACCTGAGATTGTGCTACTCATGTTAACTGGATTTCAGCGAACAAGTAGGCTACGGTACTGCGAGGGCAAAGTAGAGCATCAAATCGCTATTTAGGAGTTTTTCTCTACTAGGGACTATACTTCATTCTTATACTTCGCTTGCTCGACCCACGTTGAAAAAATGTCCAGGGGTGTAAACAAACTGAAATAAAAACGTGACCGTATTGCATTGGAGCAAGTGTACAGAGAGTATTCATCAAATGCGTTTCATGTGCTCCTTTGAAACTGGAATATCCTGAACGACATGATAAGCTTAGGTTTGGTCTGCTTAGGCGACGGCGCATGAAGCACGATGCAGTGATAACTTTCAATACCTTACTCAGACATATACATGTTTTCAACCTCAGCACGATATCAATGCAATCAGCCGTCTACAACACACGGAATAAAGAGAACTGTGACAGAATGCAGGTCCAGAACAAGCAGGTCTGCGAGATTTTTCCTTAACAAACTACCAAACAGAATACGTGCCTACACACATGAACACGAATTTCGCAAAAGCATCAACAAGTTCTTGTCTGTACAGAACATGACTAAACTATTCGACTATTCCATAAAAACAAACCAAGCGTACGAGTAGGGTCCGGGTTTCATATGACCCAGTACGTTACGCCACCACATTCTCTCCCGTGAGTTAGCTGTATTATAATAAGGTGTGTGAGAAGACTATGAAAAGCCAAGCAACATCATTTCATTTCAGTTGTCCTTTCTTTATCTGATTATTAATTTTCCTGAGCCACCTGTAGTCAACGTTCTATACATGTATGCAATTAGTTGATCATGCAGATACAGGCATGTCTCGTATCGTCGAGAACAAAATTTTATTAATTCACACTGGACGGATGCTTAATTTGAAGCAAAATTCTTGTGATCACTTAGAAGCTAGACATTTGGATTAAATTTGTGGAAAACTGACATAATTGGCCGTAAACGCATTGGTGGCATGGTGAATTTCCAGTCGTCTCACAGTTAAGATAGGATGGCCTAAAAGTGTGGCAGTCCAAATACTAAATAGCGACAACACACATAAAATCATGTTATACTGGTGGTCGCGCAGTGTGGAGAATCCCGTCTTTCCTGTTACATATAGCTGCTCTAGGAGACATACCATCGTTTGTTCGTTCAGATGCACCAATGTGCAGAGGTCGTATATCGGTCGGTGGTGCGCTATGTATCTGACCCGCAGCCAAACATCAAGCGAAAGCGAGCAGAACGCACGAAAAGAAACTACAGAAGGGGTGTTTCGGTGTTGCTCCACCCAACACTGACACTCCACGACCGCGTTTCGTCCTGGTTTGGACTCATCAGATGGAGATAGCCTGACTTGGGGTGGAACACGGCTGACGCCTTGATCACTATACCACTAGGATTCGTGAGCGACGCTTGGAACAGCGGTAAGGAATTCGAAGTTTGATTTGGAGTACCCACCGTGTGATTTGATTGTGACACGCCAACTCTATTGAGTGCTCGGTTCAATTTGAAGTCGACCTGGGTCATTTCGATCTCAAGATGGCTAAACTAGCCAAAGCTAAAAATGAGGCACCAGAAGAGAGTCAGCTAGGGAAGACTCAAACGCATGCTGAGTGCAAAGATGACCAGTAACGTCCGAGCGATGGCAACGGATGCATGTGTTGTGTGTGACTCAAACGGAAGCATCATTCAAACAAGCAAACCACCTAATTCCCTATTACAAAAGAAAACGAATATTTTAGAATATCATAAAATAGTTTACAACGTCAAACGGGGGAATCTCCAGGTCACTACAGTCGATTCAACTGCGTTTTCCAGCAGCTAGGTGATTGCATTCATTGCTATTGGTGCACGTGATTGAACGACCAGTCGAGCTCAGATCAGCAAACGAGCACCGTCTGTGAGGTTCACCTTGGTCTTCGGTGACACCATACTTCAGGCATAAGCGTTCATTTAGCAAGATCACCATCGAAAAATACAGTGCATTTTGTCCGTGAAACGCTTCGATATATGCTGTTTCGTGCACTTACAAAAGAGAGGTTTTCAGGTAGATAAAGTACCTCATTTGATCCAGATAAAAAGACGAAGAGGAATGGTTTCAAAGATTTGCTAACAATCGGTCGCTTTATTTACTTGGCAAATAAGTAAAGCTGCCGATTGATCGCAAACCTTTCTGAAACCTTGACTTCTCGGTCGGTTCCAAATATGTTCCATAAGTTAGAAAACGACAAGGAACACACAGCAGCACACAGAAAGTTCGGCCAACCAGGATGACAGCGTTCATGGACGAATGTACCTGTTACGTCCAATGATCGAATCCATAAGATCCATCTCCCAGTGGCTGTCTAGCGCAACCCTTGGAGTTATCAGCTCACCGAGAGGAGAATCGAATCACATCGACCATACTATCAGATTGGGAAAACCACCACAGAACAGTGCGAATATGACATTGCACAATGTCAGTGTTATTCCAGTTGCGCATCGGACGGGATATGTTTGCAACGGATATAAGCGCACATGATTTCATTGTATGGATGACAGGATTAGTTATATTCACAGTTGTCCTGCGTGATA